TACGCCCTCTCTAAGGCGGGGTTGACGCGACTTCAGCCAATGGGGAAGTGACGGTGCTTTGATTGACGGCGCGCTGCCACCAATAGGAAGGGGCCAGAGACGTGGAACCCTAGCGGCCGCCCTCCCAGCCACTCCCCGCGCGAGGGGGTCGCGGGCGGCAGAGAAAGTTTCCCGCATTAGAAGGTGCCGCGACCTGAGCCCCGCCCCCTGCGGGCAGGCGGGACAGTAATTGGCTGCTTGACATCCGTCCCTCCCCCTGGCTTTCTTTGGCCAGAAGCTGCTCCCTGATTGGGTGGGGAGGCATGGGGTGTCCCTGGAGGAAGGGGGGTGTGGCGGGTACCCTTGGGTGCAGGCTGCACCTCACTCTCAGTATGGAGCAGGGCCCTGCGCTCTCGCTCCCTAGGTTTTAGGCTACCCCCAAGGCATTGGCTCCTTGCAGATCCAGAACCAGCTGCTGGGCGCAGGGGTGGGTGGCGCATCCGTTGCCTGGTATTGGAGCAGTGCCATGTATCCCCCCCAGCCCTGGCACCAGAAACCCCTCCCCAGAGCGCTGTCTCCCCTGCCAGTGCCCCCTGCCTCCAGCAGCTCCTCACAGAGTTACCCCCTAGGCAGGGAAGCTTCTGCAAAACCCATGGAAATCGGGCCAGACTGGACATGTGTCTGTCGTGTCATTGGCTTGGCACAGATCAGCGTTATAATGCGGATGCCATGGCCCTGCGCTGCACAGGTTCTGGCCAGGATTGATTTCTGCTACCAGCGCTAGACACCTGCCTCAGCTTTTTGCAGGATTGGGGGTTTGTTTTATTGCAGGGTGGATTTACTACCATGTTGGGTTTTTTTAGGAAGATGACCCCTCATTATCCCCTGCCCCATGAAGGCTCTAGTAAGGCAGAGAGTCAGAGCTACCAGTTAAGCCCAAAAACGTGGAGGGAGCATGATTGGGCCTAATCCGAGACCTTGCACAACTTTAGAGAACAGCGTTCCCTGTCGTCATATTAGTCATTTAACCTGAGAGAAGAGCAGGGAGGTACTACTCTAAAGAGAAGGGGCACAAAGAAACTGTAGACAAGAATGGAAAATTGTTTTGGAGCTGAAATACAAAAAAGGGTAGGAGAGACGGGGCAGGGAGCGGGGTGTTCCCAGGAAGTTTTAAAAGGGGTTAGGTACTATTTTCTCCTATGGTTCTCCATGTATGGTCTTTCTACATATGTGTGTGTGTGTGTGTGTGTGTGTGTAAAATAGGAATTAGGTTTTCAGAGATTTGTCTTTCTGACAGCTGCCTTGATTGCTGGTCCTCTCTCTCTCTCTCAGCCTTTCTGTTCCACAGTGTTTTGGGTCAGATTGCCTCTTGCAGACTGACTGTCTGAAGCCACTGGGTAACTGAACCAATGACAAGTGGAGTGCATGTTCATCACAGAAATCGCCGACCGGCAGCCTCTCCTGTACACATGGACACCTGTGTTCCTTTCCCCATAGAGCATTTGTGTACATTCCTCCTTTACAGCTGTTCCCCACCAGCCCTTTTCTCTCTTCTATTCTCGGCTTTCCCCAGTGACCAAAACCCTCTGTTACCCATCTTCCTAACCAACCAAAAGTTTCCAGTGGGCTTCCTAGTCCTGCCTTGCCATGACATTCTGTCCTAATCAGCTT